AAAAAAAAAAAAAAAACAGAGGTAATAAGATTGGATATCAGGGGTGTGGCGGTGGTTCAGTGGTAGAATTCTCACCTTCCATGCGGGAGACCTTCATTCATTTCCCAGCGAATGCACCTCAAGTGCAGCCACCACCTGTCTGTCAGTGGGAGTTTGCATGTTGCTATGATAGTGAATGGGGCCCTGGTGGCTCAGTTGTTAAGCATTTGGCTGCTAACCAAAAGGTCCACAGTTCGAATCCACCAGCCGCTCCTTGGAAACCCTATGGGGCAGGCAGTTCTACTCTGCCCTATAGACTCGCTATGAGTCGGAATTGACGGCATTGGGTTTTTATGATAGTGAACAGGTTTCAACAGAGCGTCCAGACTAACAAGAAAGGCTTGGTGTTCTACTTCCAAAAAATCAGCCAATAAAAACCCAAAGGATCATAATGATCTGATCCTGTTGTTCATGGGCTCCCCACGAGTTAGGGACTGACTCGATGGCAACTAACAACAAGAACAGAGCATTTTATCTAGTATTTTCACATGTATTAGGGATTCTTAACCAGGAATCTGTGGATGAGCTTCAGAAGTCCTTAAACCCTTAAAATTATATGCAGAATTTTATATGTATATGCATATGGAAATCTTTTTAGATAGTTACATGGTTTCATCAGATTTTTAAAGGTGTGTATGACATAACGAGAGCCCTGATGGCGCAGTGGTTAAGAGCTTGGCTGCTAACCAAAAAGGTCAGCAGTCCAAATCCACCAGCCGCTCCTTGAAAGCCCTATGGCACAGTTCCACTCTGTCCCGTAGGGTTGCTATGAGTCATAATGGGATTTGGTTTTGCTTTTATGACATAATGAAGGTCACATTTGTTTATTTGAGCTTTAAAAAGTCTTCTGTGGTAGACAGAGGAGAATCATCCCTATATGATAGAGGAAGAAACTGAAGCTCAGATGGATTAAGTGACTTGTGGAGGTTGCATAGTTCAAATTCAGATCTTGTGGTTCCTAATCCAGTGCTCTTTCCATCACATCCCTAGAGTATTAGATCATCAAGGAGCTGTAGAGCATTCTGGTTAACAGGATGGATTCTGGTGACAAACTGCCTGTATTTACTAGCTCCAGTATTTACTTGCTGTGTAATATTGAGCAAGCCCCTTAATTTTGTGAAGCCTCAGTTTTCCTGTCTGTAAAATGGGTATAATACAATCTACCTGATAAAATTGTGAAAATGAATTGAGATAACATAGTACCTCATATATCAGTGCTCAATCCATGCTAGCTATCATAATATTCCAGAGGTGCCTATTTTTTCCTAGTGGAACATTGGGTTAATTCCACAGATATTTATTAAATACTTAATATAGTAACAAGATTGTGCCAGAGCCTTTGGGTGACACTCAAGAATTAAAGGTATAATTTTTGTCTTCAAAAAACATGCCACTGTTGGTGGGAATGTAAAATGGTACAACCACGTTGGAAATCAATTTGGTGCTTCCTTAAAAAGCTAGAAATAGAAGTAGCATACAATCCAGCAGTCCTGCTCCTTGGAATATATCCTAGAGAAATAAGAACTGTCACATGAATAGATATATGCACACCCATGTTCATTGCAGCACTGTTCACGATAGCAAAAAGATGGAAACAACCTAGGTGCCCATCAATGGACGAATGGATAAACAAATTATAGTATATTCACACAATGGAATACTATGCAATGATAAACAACGATGAAGCCATGAAACATAACATGGAGGAATCTGGAAGGTATTATGATGAGTGAATTTAGTCAGTCACAAAAGGACAAATATTGTATAAAACCACTATTATAACAACTCAAGAAAAGGTTTAAACACAGAAGAAAACATTCTTTGATGGTTACAAGGGTGGGGAAGGAGAGAAAGGGTTATTCACTAACTAGATAGTAGACAAGAATTATCTTAGGTGAAGGGAAGGACAGCACACACTACAGGGGAAGACAACACAACTGGACTAAACCAAAGCTAAGAAGTATCCTGAATACAACCAAACACTTCGAGGGACAGAGTAGCAGGGGTGGAGGTCTGGGGACCATGCTTTCAGGGGACATGTAGGTCAATTGGCATAACAAAGTTTATTAAGAAAATGTCCTGTATCCTACTTTGGTGAGTGGTGTCTGGGGTCTTAAAAGCTCGCGAGCGGCCATCTAAGATTCATTAATTGGTCCCAACCCATCTGGAGTAAAGGAAAATGAAGAACACCAAAGTCGCAAGGAAAGCATTAGCCCAAGAGTCAGAAAGGGCCACATAAACCAGAGACTGCATCAACCTCAGACCAGAAGAACTAGATGGTGCCCGGCTACCACCAGTGACCGCCCTGACGGAGAACACAGCAGAGAGTCGCTGATGGAGCAGGAGAAAATTGGGCTGCAGAACTCAAATTCTAGTGAAAAGACCAGACTTAATGGTCTGACTGAGACTGGAGGAACCCCAGAGAGCATGGCCCCCAGACTCTCTGTCACCCCAGCACTAAAACCATTCCCGAGGCCACCTCTTCAGTCAAAGATTAGACTGGATTATGGGACATAAAATGATGCTTGTGAAGAGTGTGCTTCTTAGCTCAAGTAGATACATGAGACTAAATGGGCAGCTCCTGTCTGGAGGTGAGATGAGAAGGCAGAGAGGGTCAGGAGCTGGATGAATGGACACCGGAAATCGGGTGGAAAGAAAGAATGTGCCGTCACAGCGTAGGGAGAGCAATTACGGTAACATAACAACGTCTGTATAAATTTTTGTTATGAGAGACTAACTTAAACTGTAAACTTTCACTTAAAGTACAATAAAATAAAATTTTTTAAAAAATGCCAACTGTTTGGAGAGAGAATTTATACACAGAATTAGCAAATAATTCCTAGCATGATATAATAAAAGTGAGATGGTAATGGGTTGATGGATATACAAATGCTGAGGGAATCACTATGGCTAGATTGCTATAGGTCCCTGGGTGGTGCAAATGGTTAACAGGCTCAGCTGGTAACCAAAAAGTTGGCAGTTTGGGTCCACCCAGAGGCACCTCAGAAGAAAGGCCTGGTGATCTACTTCTGAAAAATCAGGCATTGAAAACCCAATGGAGAGTCGCCATGAGTCAGAGTCAACTTAATGGCACCAGGTATAACTGGTAGATTACTGTGGGTTGGGGTTCAGCTGGGCCTTACAGCTATTATGTACAGCCAGGAGGACGAGAGGTGGAGGATTTTCTTTAGAATATTGAGCTTAACAATATTCTTTCATTGCAGCTGTCCACAGACAAAGACTTTAGAAGGCATCGGAACCTCGTGGCCTACCTAAGTCTGTATTATGATTGAGAGGTGGTGACTACATTCACAGGCATCCTTCTGACTACAGAATTTTCAGGATTGAGGACAGAGCCACTCTTCTCTCTCTGTATCACTGTGGCCCTCTGGTCTGCCAGCATGGGGCCCAGGGAGGGAAAGGGACTTATGATTGCTGTGTAAGAGCATTAAAACTAGTTTAGAGTGTTCTATCTTCATGTGCTCATTTGTGGTGCATACATAAGTAGATGGATTCTGGGGTTCATGTTGGGTGTTCAGTGGGGTGACTTCATTTGAGTGAAGTACTGGTAGGTCCTACCCTCTAGGTCTGATTTTCAGGCACCAACTTTATAATTCTACCTCTAGCCCTGGCAAAAGGAGGCTGTTGGCCTATACCTATCAAGAGTTTCACACTGCTGGTGGGAATGCAAAACAGTACAAATCACTTTGGAAAATGATTTGGGGCTTCCTTAAAAAGCTAGAAATAGAAATAGCATATGATCCAGCAATCCCACTCCTAGGAATATATCCTAGAGAAATAAGAGCCAAATCAATGAATAGATTTACACACCCATGTTCGTTGCAGCAGTGTTCACAATAGCAAAAAGATGGAAACAACCTAGGTGTCTATTAACAGACGAATGAATAAATTATGGTGTATTCGCACAATGGAATAGTACACAACAATAAAGAACAATAATGAATCCTTGAAACATCTCACAACACGGATGAATCTGGAAGGCATTATGCTGAGTGAAATTAGTCACAAAAGGACAAATATGAGACGCTATTACAAGAACTCAAGAAAATGTTTAAACACAGAAAATAGCATTCTTTGATGATTATCAGGGTGGGGAGGGGGAGGGGGAGGGGAATTCACTAACTAGACGGTAGACAAGGATCAACTTTGGTGAAGGGAAGGACAACATACAATACAGAGGAAGTCAGAACAACTGAACCAAAGCAAAAGCTAAGAAGTTTCCTGGACACATCCAAACACTTCGAGGGACAGAATAGCTGGGGCCAGGGACTGGGGACCATAGTTTTGGGGGACATCTAGGTCAATTGGCATAACAAAGTTTATTAAAATGTTCTGCATCCCACTTTGGTAAGTGGCATCTGGGGTCTTAAAAGCTTGCAAGCTGCCATCTAAGATGCATCAATTGGTCCCATCCCATTTGGAGCAAAGGAGAATGAAGAACACCAAAGACACAAGGAAAGTATTAGCCTAAGAGACTAAAGGACCACACAAAGCAAGACTCCACGAGCCTGAGACCAGAAGAACTAGATGATCCCCGGCTACCACCAATGCCTGCCCTGACAGGGAACACAACAGAGAGTCCCAGACAGAGCAGGAGAAAAGTGTAGAGCAGAACTCAGATTCACATAAAAAGACCAGACTTAATGGTCTGACAGGGACTGGAGGAACCCTCAAAACTATGGCCCCCAGAAGCTCTGTTAACCCAGAACTGAAACCACTCCTGAAGCCCACTCTTCGGGCAGAGATTAGATAGGACTATAAAACAAAAAATAATACACATAAGGAGTGTGCTTGTTGGTTCAGTCAGATACATGAGACCAAATGGGTGGCTCCTGTCTGGAGGCAGGATGAGAAGACAGGATGGGACAGGAACTGGTTGAATGGACACAGGGAACCCCAGGTGGAAACAAAGAATGTGCTGTGTCACACTGTGGGGATTGCACGTAATGTCACAAAACAATATGTATATAAATTTTTTAATGAGAAATTAACTTGAGCTGTAAACTTTCACCTAAAGCACAATTAAAAAAAAAAAGTTTCAGTGGGATTTGGCCTTACTTAGGCTTGAATTTGGGCTTGCTAGATACAGAGGATACCTAAAGGCAGGATAAAACATTCAAGTTTCTGAGTCCTCCAGCAAGGAGTGGGAAAGTCCTGGTTTAGTTGCCTTTTCAAGATTGATTTAAAACTCACAGAACCAAAAATTTCCCACCCCTTTCCATTACATCATCTATTTAGTTTATCAGTCAACATGTATTTACTGCATTTCTCCTGTGTCAAGCAGAGTATTAACCGGAAATACAGCAGAAATCCAAACAAACTCATTTACTGGCTCCCTGGAGGCCTGCAGTCTGAGGATCCCCCACCCCCAAGAGTGGCTAGTGGCTTGGGCCTGCCTCCCCAATCCGAATGACCCCCTGAAGCCTCACAAGTGAGTCTGGATGTGTGAAGATCAGAACTCACAGCAGCCACAAAGTCATTGTTCAGATACTCTGGCCTGGGAGATAGGCCCCTTCCGACACTAACTGAAGTCAGTGTAGTTCCTTTAGGATGGGCACTGTCTGTGGTCTACTTGATCTTTTAATGGGAAGGTCCTTTAGTGCTCACTAAGGCTTCTTAGTAATTACCAAAAAGGCAGCAAGTCTGCATGTGTCTGGATACCAAAGTGAGAAGCTGCCAGCAGCTGCAGAAAAGCTCTACACTTTTCCATTCCTGGAAATTTACAGACATGTGTGGCTCTAGCCTACTGTTATCTCTAAGCGCCACCCCATGGTGTTTGCTGGGAAAAGGAACAATAAGAGGTGAATTCTCCTGGGCTTATGATGCTGTGGGACCTAATTCCCTAAAGGTCAAGGCCTTCTGAAATAATTAAGTGGCAAAGGGTGAAAAAGTTTCTATTGGGAAATCAAACTGGAATATTAAGATAATGATAAAGATACCTCAAGTCAAAAACTTTTACCCAATATATCCAGTCCAGCTGCCATCGAGTCAACTCATGGCAACCTAGTGTGTGTCAGAGTAGAAATGTGCTCCATAAGGCTTTCAGTGGCTGATTTTTCAGAAGCACATTGCCAGGCCTTTCTTCCAAGGCACCTCTGGGTAAACTCAAACTTCCAGCCTTTCCGTTAGCAGCCAAGCACATTAGCCATTTGCAACACTCAGGAACTACCCAATATATAGGTGTCTTTTAATCTGAAGATTTCTATTATTTTGTCAGGAAGTGTTTATGATTTGAGGTAAGTTAGGATTAATTTAGCACTTTTCCTACATGCCTCCTACATTTTTCTCCTTTGGATCCATAGTGGGGGGGGTGCGGGGGGGGTGTGCGTATGCACGCATGCACATGCAGGTTTTTTCATAGGGAATGTGGTAATATAGCATTGGTTATTTTTTGTGACTCAGGATCTTGGGCTCCTTCTTTGGAAGATATTGACGTGGTGATAGAGCATCTTTCACACTGATGTTTAGCACATCCACTCGAGCCCTTTCCCAGGGAAGGGAACTCTATTTTCCAAAATAGTAATCTGATTTGATAAAAAATAAAATAAAATTTTAATATATCTTCAGTTAACCTTCAGGGTCCTTTAAAATGCTAAACGTATACACGGCACTTACCAAAGAGCACAAATGAATACGAAGAATAAAGCATGCTGTGCCATATTTATTTTACATCTGGATTCGGTTCAAGGTATTTGCAGTTTTTTTAGGTTTTACTGGAGTAAAATTTTATAATAATAGTATTTTAGTAGGGCAGAGATTCTCAAGTGACAGATTGATATAATACATAGACTACATGAAATATTGGAGGACGTAGTTTGATATGCAGCAGAAGAGACTCTGTGACAAAGTAGGATTTTACCGCACTTTTCCCTTAAGGCCAATTGCAATAGATGCAGCTCTGGTGAAAGACCAGCCCTTGTGCACACTGGCAGTGGAAGGTCCTATCTCCAGCACACTGGTAGAACTTGGTGTTATCGTCAGGATCACTATAGATGCCATCTGCTTTGCCAGTGCAGAAACCTCCATCTCCTCCACTGCCTCCATCACTACCACCTTCACCACCACCTCTCCCATCACCGCCGCCTCCACCTCCACTACTGCCACCTCCACCAATGTTGGCACAGAAGCCTTCACTTCTTGGTGTCACAGGTTGGTTATACCAGGTCTTGGTGGCTGGTAGGGTACACTCTAAAGGAATAAAAAGAGCATTTCAGAGCCTTCAACATAAACTGATTTTTGTATGTAGAAGCAGCAGGCTATAGACGTTCCCCTACATCAGTTCTGCTCTCAGAGCACTTGAGCCCTGAGAGGATTCCAAGCTGTAGTTGGTAAGAATGCTGTAAGGAGACAAAAGTCCAAAGCAGCAGGTGGGGAGGACCAGGACCACTGAAGTCCTAGTAGCATGACAGCCCTGGGATTCTATTCCAGTTCCACCCTAGGTGAAATGGACTCAAACCTGCAGTGACAGAGCAAAGGACTTTACATTTATATATTTATTATCTGTTTATTGTATATATTTGGGTTTTTGTCATCTTGCTATGCTTTGTTTCTTATACTTGATTTTTACTTGTTTCCCTTGGATATTATTCTTTTACATCTTTTTTTCTCCCTCTGGTGATTCAGAAGCTTTATATTTCATTTTACTCCACTAGCTCTCAACCACTACAGTTTGCTGCCTCTGCCTAGCTGTTAATGTGAACAAGATAAGTTTATAATCATCTCTTGCAGATTTTGACAGTTCTAACAATCAATGATTCTAAGAATTTACTTAGAGTAGAGACATTGAGAACCTCTTATATCCTCCACAGCTCCACTTCCATTTTTAGACCTGCCCTCAGGGATGCTTAACCCAAGGAATATAAAAGAGCACCAACCAAAATACCAAACCCACTGCCATCGAGTCACTTCCAACTCATAAAACGACCCTATAGGACAGAGTAGAACTTGCCCCACAGGGTTTCCAAGACTGTAATCATTATGGAAGCAGATTGTGACATCTTTTTTCCACGGAGCAGCTGGTGGGTTCAAACAGCCGACATTTTGATTCGCAGCCAAGCACTTTAACCACTGCACCACCAGGGATCCCTATATAAGACCACAGGAAGAGCAAAGGTTTCTTCCTTCATACTGCTGAGTCACTGACCAAGTGAGTTTCTGTCCCTACCCTTATTCATGACCTCCCTCCAACCCTTCCCACCAGCAGCCAAACCACAAAAATCTATGCATCTAAGGGGGATACCCTAGGTTTTTCTGAGTTAGAATATGAGACACTGTAGTGAGAGTAGAGTGGTCTAGCTTAGAGATAAATGTCATTGC